TCCAAAACCCAATAACCCTTTGAGTTATTCAACCTAAAACCATACCAAATAACAAACGAAAGAAAAATAAAGAATTCATTCATTCATAGGGGTGGCTGTCGAGAGGAGGGAGGAGAGAAATAAGGAGAAAAAAAAGGAGAGAGAGGGTGGATGGGTGCGTGGGGAAGATAAGACAGTAGGGTGGGTTTGTTGAAGAGGGAGAGAGGGGAAGAGAGAGAAGAAGGATAGAGGAGGTGGGGTTCGGATGTGTGGTGGGTGGTGGGGTGGTCAGGGTTTCGTCGGGATGAGGGAGAGGGGGGGTCTTAGAAGTCATTTTACAAAGAGGTAAATTTGTCTTTAAAATTTTGAAGATAAGGTGGGTGGAAAAATAGGACAAGGGGGTGGAAATAGTAGCACTCTTAGTTTTTGAAGTTAGGATCCAATCCACTTTACCAAAGTCAATATTGGTTTGGATTTTGAACACCCCAAACAAAGTTTTGTGTACTACATACGCTATTCCAAGAGGGGAGAATCTTTTAATTGTACGATCTTGAGCTGCTTTAGGATTCTCTGCATTTCTTGAATCGTGACAAGCTCAGAAGTTGCAGGAACCATCTCCGGAGACGCTTGATGAACTGAGGGTGTTTCTTGCTCTTCAAAAAATACAGAATTAGTATATGTGTGGTTCCAATCATTGTGGACTGAACTTTCTTGGCAACGGCAGCTGCTGCTCGGTGAGGCCTTAACTGCGTCTTGCGGTGGACTTCTACTTCGAAAAGAATGGAAGTTGAGATCTTTTTCATTGAAAAGTTTGAACATGGTAAGAATTTTTGTCCATGTAGAGGCTTTTGAATGTTGACAATTTCTCTCTTCCTTGAACCATTTGTTCTCAATGTTCAAAATCGTCTCTCCTCCGGTCACGTTAAGGATTGCTTGTGAAACATCTGGTAAAAGAGGGGAACGTTTTGGAAACAGCTGCAAACAGTGCAAAGTAAACGATTTACACTATTAAATGTTGAATCGGGGAATCGGGGAATCAAGGTATTCTGATTTTGAGTATTTGATTACGAATTTTATGCGTTTATCAAAGAACTGGAATTATTATAATACCCATTCTTGATAAGTAAAACATGCTATTAGTTTATCAAAGAACTCTTAAGAAAGGGTTTATATATGTTGGCTATGTATGTAGAGGAGGAGAGAGATCTTACAAAAGCAAATCCATCCGTTTTAAAGATGGGTCCAAGCATGATATATTTAGAACAATATTTTGCAACAAAAAGCTTCATGTTGGGGGTTTCATCAACAACAGCAGAAATGCCACCATTTGAACTCCCTTTTGAAAGAGCTTCATCAATTTCTTCCATAGTTGTAAAGCCCTTAAGCTTGGTATCCTGAAAACCTACTTGTTTCAAGATATCGTAGACACAAGTATTCTTTACGCAGCCGACATGTTCCTCCGTCCTTATCAGATCCTTTATATCAGTAACACTTGGTTCGAGTTGTTGAACTGTATAAAGGGACGCTAGTTGGCTGTGTAATTTATTGTCAGTATTAGCACAACAAATATCCACACACTCACCACAAATCTAGCCAAGTTGCTAACAACTCTCTCCCCTGTACAATGCATGCACAAGAGATGAGTAGTGGACGGTGACCTTGAGGTCTTGGAGGAGACTGACAGGAGGGCTTCCTTCATCATGATTTTCATGGACTGTTCCCATGTTTCACTTAATTTGGCTTTTGAGGGATGTTTCTATATATAGAATATCTATGTTTACCCTTTTTATGAGAGTAAAAATGGATAGATAGAATTATCGTTGTTTTTTTTATAGTACAAGCGATAATCTAAAGTACAGGGGCAACGGTTTCTCACACTTACGCACACAATTAAGATGCCATAGGGGTTCGAACATGAGACCTCTGGCCCTTTTTCATTGACAATTATATCTTTTTTATTTTATTTTAAGGGATATGATTTCCCCACTTCCCTTTTCTCACACTTTTTTTTTTTTCTGAAACCACGAGTGGTCCTGGATGGGCCCCATTTATGGGTGACACCTTTAAGCCTCAACCACAACCCAGACTAATCCCCGCTCACACCGGGTCAGCCCGTAAGGGGTAAAGTGCTGGCCAAAGTGGTGACTCCATACGAGAGTAGGGATCGAACCCATGACCTCTCTTAAGGAATGAAAGTGCCGAACCACTCACACCAACCACCTTGGTTTAAATCAGCTCACTTTTTTAATTAAGAGGTATTTGAATAATTTATTTTAGATTCCCATGTAAAAGACATTCATGCCGAAGTCGAGAAATTATTTGACCATTTAATTATCATTATTAATATTTAAGAGATCTAGATAACTGAATATAAATAAAAATAAAAAAATAAAAAACTAAAATTCCATGCAAAATACTTGTACAAAAAATTAACCAAATCAAAAATTATTCAGTTGTCTAACAATAATGAAGGTTGCTTCTTAATTGAAAACCGTGGGATCTGCCTAACTTTTTCATAAATATTGAAGTCACAAGTTGAAAATCGATCTGGACCACTATTGCCAAACAATTTCCATAAATGTTCACAACCAAACCAACACAATCAATTAAGATTGAAGGAAATGGAATTATAAATATTTTTGTGGATACAAATAGCCATATGCTCAATAACTTTTTATTAGCTAGGCTAGGCTGGGGTGCCCAATAATCACTTGATTGCATGCTAAAAGCTAGATAATTTGGCACTCTAATCATAATCTTCAATGCCAAACGGTATTTTGGTATGCCAAGTTGCCAACTCAAAGGGTGTTACTCATAATCTGACTTATTATATATCCAAAAAGAAAAAACACTTTTACTTGTACAAAATTCATAGCCCAAATTCTTATTCTCTAAGGCTAACATGAATTATTTTTGTGTTCCTTGCTGGCATATCCAAAAGTGAACCGATAATCTAAAAACTCCTCAAAATTCATATATCGTGGAAGATATCATGATTTACAAGTTATTTTATGACATGAAATATCACTCCTCTATGTTGATTGTCAATATTTACATTGGACAAATGGTAAGTAAACTATTTTTGGCGGTTCACTTTATTGCTTGTAGTGTTTTAGGGGAAGGAAAATAAATGTCAAAGTAATAAAAGGAGAAACACTTCAATTAGTAGGCAGTCTAATGAAAGATGACGGTTTTACATATTTTGCAACGGTTTGTAGACCTTTTGTGACAAAATTTTGGTCCCCGATCAGGTTAGTTGTATTAGCGACATTTTTTACAAACCAAATAGGCACAATGGGAATGGATCTGAGTCATATGATATGAGTTGTTTTATGGCGATAGTGTCATATATGGACCATAGATGTGGACCTTCATAATATTAGCTACATAATTCATCTGAATAGTAATTTCACTTAAGTTTAATGAAATTATCATGTGACTAATATGAAAATACACATTAACAGTTCATATATGAAACCCTCACTATAGAATTTCGCCATATGATATATGCCTTGATATAAAGCAGAGGGTTGAAATAAAAACACAATTAGAATAGGTTATGTTTTAGTATATAGGCCCAAGCCCATAAAAGAACCTTGTTAAAATACCAGCCCATAAGTGAAACACATCGTTTTACTAACCCTATCTTTACCTTTTTTTGGACGAACCCTATCCTCACTTATCTCTCATCTCTCTGCCTCCATCTCCACCCATCTCTCTCTACCTCTAGCCGCGGCTACAAAGAAAAGAAGAAAAATTCAAAGATACCTCTGACGATGTAGAGAAGAACCCGTTGCTGCCACTGGTTGGGTCGAGAAGAGTAGAGAAGCAGCCACCCGAACCGCCCATGCTCGCCTACCCCCAACGATTAGGGTGAAATCGCGGCAGTAGACCGCCGAGGCCGATTTTCTAACTGTAATTACACCAAACCCTGTTAGCCTAGGCCGATTTTTCAAACACTGTAATTACACCAAACCCTGTTAGCGACTACGCAATTGGATGCTGGAGCCTAGAGAATTCCACAATGCAGTTTTAATTTAAGAAATTTTGTCCTTTACTCCATGCCACTAACGAAATTGGAGGAGCTTTCATATGAGTTCACAGCTGAAGATCTCGCATACCACAAACCCTATAACTTACATCTACCGCTCTATTCGAAGATACGCCGTTGTTACGAACCGGTTTGGCTACAATCACAGGTCGACATTTTCCCATTCTTAAAGTTCTGGGCAGGAATCGATAAAAAACACCATTTGACAAATAACTAGTTCGTTTAATCAGCTATTCACGCTTAAACAAGTATAAAGACATTTTACCAAAAAGAAAGAGATAAACTAATTAGGCTGTCACCTTTTGTTTAGATGTGCAATAGTTTTTGCTTACACTGAGCTCTGAGCTCTGAGCTCATCATGTTATTTCTAAACCAATTTATAATAATTTCCCCCCATACTATACAATTTACGGTGCTGCCACTGGTTGGGTCGAGAAGAGTAGAGAAGCAGCCACCCGAACCGCCCATGCTCGCCTACCCCAAACGATTAGGGTGAAATCGCGGCAGTAGACCGCCGAGGCCGATTTTCTAACTGTAATTACACCAAATCCTGTTAGCCTAGGCCGATTTTTCAAACACTGTAATTACACCAAATCCTGTTAGCCTAGAGAATTCCACAATGCAGTTTTAATTTAAGAAATTTTGTCCTTTACTCCATGCCACTAACGAAACTGGAGGAGCTTTCATATGAGTTCACAGCTGAAGATCTCTCATACCACAAACCCTATAACTTAGGGTCCTCGTCCCCAACACCCTTTTCCATCTACCGCTCTATTCGAAGATACGCCGTTGTTACGAACCGGTTTGGCCACAATCACAGGTCGACATTTTCCCATTCTTAAAGTTCTGGGCAGGAATCGATAAAAAACACCATTTGACAAATAACTAGTTCGTTTAATCTGCTCTTCACGCTTAAACAAGTATAAAGACATTTTACCAAAAAGAAAGAGATAAACTAATTAGGCTGTCACCTTTTGTTTAGATGTGCAATAGTTTTTGCTTACACTGAGCTCTGAGCTCTGAGCTCATCATGTTATTTCTAAACCAATTTATAATAATTTCCCCCCATACTATACAATTTACGGTGCTACTTGTATAAATAATACAGAGTTACGTGTCACAAAGAAGCTGCATCAGTTGCTTCCTGGGGCAATCTCTTGAGTTCTTGGTCTCTCAGTAATCTCAATGGCTGATTCCATCTCTGATCTGCTGGTTGATGCTCCAGGACTGAAACCAGCATGCTCAAGATCAGCAGAAGAAGGTGTTCTCATCTGCTCCTCAAACACATTGCGTGCTTCAGTATGGTCTGAATAGACTGATGGGCTTTGGGGGAAGTTGGTGTTAACTTCAAGTTCTCTCTTCTTAAAAGTAAACGACTTGAGGTCCTTGTTGTCGTAAATTCTTAACATGATAAGAAATCTTCTCCACAATGAGGCCTCTGGATTGAGTCGCTTGAAGATGTCCTTGTGTTCATACAAGAACATGGCAGCAAAGATGAGCAGAGCTAGTGTTGAAGCAACACCAGCAATGAGAAAGAGGCCCCAGAAGCTCTCAAGGCTGAGACTATTGGAAGAGACCAAGCTGTTGGGGTCTGCACAATTTTGTTTCTTGAACCACCTGTCCTCAATGACTTTCGTTTGGTTTCCCTCGTTCACATTTAAGATTCCCCTCGAAACATCGTGAGCAAGAGGGGAGCCTTTTGGGAAGACCTGCAAGTTGTAGAATCATAGGAAACAAAACAATCCCTGATGAGAAAACATGGTGGATCAACATCAAAGAGAGATATAAAGGAGAAACAGCAGGTGAACTTACAAAAGCAAAACCATCGGCTTTAAATGTTGGATCAACCATGGTGTATTTGGAGCAATATGTTGCAAGAAACAGTTTCATGTAGGGTGTTTCATCAAACGCTGCAGAAATGCCATTTTTTCTACTCCCATTTTGAAAAAGTTGGTTCAACTCTTCTGGGGTTTTAAAGGGCTTAAGATTTTCATCCTGAAATCCTAGATCTTTCAAAATCCCATAAACAAAAGAATCTGGTTGATAGGCAACATTGTCCTTATATTTGAGGAGCAAGTTTACATCAGTAACAGTTGGTTGGAGCTGTTGAACTGTTAAAAGAGAGGTCAAACTTGCAGTGTAACTTTGAGTCAGTATCAGGACAACAAAGCACCATATGATCACCACAAACCTAGCCAAGTTGCTCACAACTCGCTCCCCTGTAATTCAAAATAAGAAAGGAATGAACAATGAGTCATGGAAGTCGTTTTACCATTTGGGATTTACTTTTTTGAAGGATAATTTACAATGGAAAGTATTTGATTTGGTTGTTGGGTTGCAGAGTAAACTAAGATGAAAGAACTTACTGTGTGCAAAAACCATGGTTGAGAAGGAGAACCAAAAACTTGTCCCGATTTGGTGATGTGGAGGTCCACGAAAGTCTTCGTTTATTCGATGTTCAAGAACCCAGACTACAAAACCAATGAATATGAAAAAACAACCGCTTGTTAACCAAAGATCCCATGTCAAAGGCTTCAAGAACACCCATGCATTCTTGCTTTTGTTGTCTTTGATAGGCACAATCATGGACACCCCAGATTCTTTGTATGGCAATGTAAAGTCAACATATAAGGATCTGTCTGCTCTGATGGTTATATCTCCCACTGCAGCATCATAGTTCTTTCAAGAAAAAAATGTCAGTGTCAGTAAATAATTTGGATAGTTTTGTTTTGTTAGATGAAGGAAAACAAATAAGCTTAGATATGAATCCTACCCCAAGAAAGACTTCATTGACCAAGTCATTGTAACTGCCAGCGCTCTCACCATTAGGCTTTGCATAAGGATATAAAT